ACCTTGTCCGGCAGTTGCATCAACTAGGAACACACGTGGGTGGTTGTCAAAATTATGGTCCCTTTTTGGGTACCCTAAATCTTAGGTTAGGGATCCAAAAAGAGACCCATAAATTTGACAACCACCCACGTCTCTACCGCTTTAGTTGGCTTCGCCCTAGTAACCTGTGATGACTCATGTCTTCCCGCCACGCTTCTGATACGTGGTCCACTGCATGCCACCACCAACTCGTTGTCTTTGCACACTACACGTATGATCCTGCGAGGTCCCAGCCAACGGCACTGGGGCAGTCCTTGCAGAAGCTGCCGCTGCGGCATTGGACCTGCCATACGCGCAAACAAAGATTTCCGTGAACGGGCAGGCCAGGCATCAGCTGTCATACTTCTGCGAACAACCAGATGGTAGTTTCCCCAAATAGGGGGACCCCATAATAGACGCCAAAGCATTACAATCCTCCTTGTCATGGGGACCTCAAAAGGTACACCTAATTTTGGGAAATCCCCAAACAGGTAGGTATACGCATTTATATATACATATACACATGCAGATTATGGCGCACTGCTCCGCCACTGCTGAGAACAAGTGCCTAAACCCTAAACCCTGAAACCCTAAATCCTAAACCCACATCAAACCTGAACCTCATGCAAATGCGGCTCTCCCTACTGCGGTTCACTTCATTCACAGCTTTGCGAGCAAAGCAGAGTGAGCTATAGCGTAAGATGAAATGGAAACTGGGGTTCAAGGGTAGTTTATAGGGATTAGGGTTTAATGTGAGCTGTAGTCTAAACTCCTTAAAGGGGGTTTCGATAAGGGATCATATGGGGTTTAGGGTTCCGGGTCTAAACTCCTTAAAGGGGGATTTATATAGGCGAGTATAGCGGGGTATATAGGAGATTCTACAGATAGAGGACTAGTATAGGGGTTATTAAGAGGGATACTAGGAGTTTAGACTATAGCTCAAATGAATCGGCCAGCAAAATTTCCTGGACTGAAGAGGTGATTTGTATGCAAGGCTGCCTGCAGACAGCATAAGCCACCTTTTTTGGTAAAATCATTTCAGAGCAGGTCACTCTTAGGAGTCCACAGAACCAAAATGGTAGCTTCCATACATGGGGGGCCCCAATGTATTCAGCTTAATACATTATAATCCTTCTTATGGGAGCCCCAAAAAGGCTTTGGGTGAGGAATGTTTGGCTCCTGACCAAACGTCGCAATCTCAAGACTTGGGCCCAGCCCTGAAGCCTCAGAAGGCGATCCTTGCCCCACTTGGTTGAGAGTTTGGTTATGGAGGGATGATGGAAAACAAAATGGAAACTACTATATACAGGTTCTATGGGGATGATAGAAAAGAACATGGAAACTACAACTATATAGGAGGTATATAGGAGTTATGTAAGGATAACGGAAGAGAAAATGCAAAGAAACAACTACTACAAACTCTGCTAAACCCTGAACCCTGTACCAGTTCTAGTCAACTTTGGGATTTCATACTGAGGTCATCTCTTAGACTCTTCCACGGGGTCGAAGAAGCAGAGATGTAGATTTCAAAAAACAGTTTTTGGGATTCCTCTATGGAGAGTTCCAAGCCAGAGGACCACAGGGCCTGACCAGCTCCATCAATCACCAGAGAAGTTTCGCAGGTGTGTCAGGGTGTTGGACCTGTAGTTACGTTTCTGGATGTAAAAGTGCGTGCACACACACCTTAAGGCACGTTGGCAGTATTGTCCATTATTTGCCATAGTGCTGTAAAAGGTTCTTCACGTTTGGAGTCACAGGGGCGAATTTTGTCAGGAGATCCTCGAAGCACTCTCGCTTTTGCAATTCTCAATTCCCATACTCAGCTTTCTTTGCTCTTACCCCTGGCATATTCGTCTTCCCCGGCATGCTGTGCACATTTTGATCCTCCGATGGCACGGTTTGCTCTCGGAGTGATCTGCAATCTTCAGATGCAGTTTCTACTTTGAGGAGTTTCCAGCAGAATCTGCTGCGAACATCCACTTAGCTAGAAACAGCAAAAATGCAAAAGCATAGTTCCAAATGATGACAGGTGTTGGATGATGCTGCAGAGTTGGAAGCCCAGCCATGCGATCTGCTGGAAGTGGAACGCTCCCTTCTATGGCGAATCTGAAGCTGGTCATCATTCTGAGTAGGAAATCTTATGCATATCTGAGGAATTTTGACTGAGCACGCGTTTTGCCGAAGAACTACTGCAACCACAACGCCGTAATGCCTCATAAGTCGCCATACAAAGCTGCTCGGGCATGTAAAAGCCCCATCATCCTACTACAATCCCTGTAGTTTCCATTTTCTCTGTCATAATCCGTATATAACCCTGACATAACCCATATATATAATATAACACCTACATCACCCAATGCAACCCCAGTATAACCCCTGGAATCCACAACCAGCCTTCACGAACCCAGGCTGTCAAGCGTTGAGCTGGGTGCTGACTCGGAAGTGACAGCGGTTGTGATGCCCACCATCAAGGCATCCCATGTGAGCTATAGTCTAAACTGCTTGAAGGGGATATATAGGGAAATACATTGGGGACGACTATAGGGGTTATTACGGGGATACGCAAAGTTTAGACTATAGCCCCTGTGAGCTGTACTTGACTAAATTGCGAGTGAGGTTGCAGGAATCATGCAGAGATGTCATGGGATGATGTAGAAGTTGCACTTGACGACGTGAGTTTATGGCTTTAGGTATGAGACAAAACATGATGGTCACTCGCTGGGTCCTTGATGTAGTAGGGTCCTGTTGTTCCGGGCCTATGTCTATGTGCTCAAATCAAAGGATGGATGTTTCATGTTGTGCTCAAGTGCACATGTTCCCGAAGTGCTTGGATTTGGTTAATGAATGTTGAAGTGACGCAACGCCATTATCGAAAAAAAAGCAATGGCATCAAAGCGAATGATGGTTACATCACTTTGCGGAATATCTTTAAACTCAAAAACAAATGAACATGAATCAACGCTTCGTCATTTTCGATTTCATTGCGCCATGGTATACCCTCGTTGTGTTGCAAGTTCCAATCAGAAATCGAATAAGTTCAGAACTCTTCTTTCTTGATAAACTCAGATTCCGCGAATTTCTTCAACGTCTGCAAGCAAAGGTTTACAGCTGAATCAACATTATTTGGAGTGCATTAGCATTCCGCCGAATTTTGGAAGGTCCTCAATTCGACATGGACGTTAAGTTCAACCAGTTAAGGGTTCCGCCAATTTCTGGAGGGTGCTCAATTCTACAAGTGAAGTTAGTCGGCTCCAACGAGGATAGCTGACCTGCTCTTTTGGGAGATTTTCGCTTATCTTTAAATCTCCAATCAAAGTTCTTCAAAGCCAATCATGTTTCCATCATTTCCACGAAGGGTTTTGATTTTGCTTGGGGGTTTCCGAAAGTTAGGAGCCTCTTTTTGGGAGTCCTCGAAATAGGGATCATGGGATATTGGGGTTTATTGGGGCCTGCTAGTTGTTCAAACTCCCATGTGCAACCTAACTGGAGACGCTAGCTAAAGAAATGTGGGCCAGTACCAACACACAACGGAAAAAAAGAAGCAAACAAAGCTAGTGGGGCTGCGCAAAATAATTTTCTGAGTGGGGTCTCAAGCAAACAGCTTGTCAAGCGCTTCATTTGAAAAAAGATTGCTTATGTGAAGCACATCTTTTGGAGAAAGCGCCGTCTTTTCCCAAGGAAAGAAGTGTTTTTTTCCTTAAAACATGGTTTTCTTTCCGAGGCCTTTCACAGAAGCTACGCACACCAGCCTTTAGTTGGCGGTTTTTCGACTTTCCCAGGAAGTAAGGTAGTCGATTTCCGGCACAATCTTTTGCTAGGCGCAGCCGTTTTTTTCTGAGAAAATCCTTTTTTTGTTGAGGAAATCATCCTTTTCCAAGGGTGTTTGAAGAGAGCAATTTGTCATTGTAGACCACTGAGCCGGAAATTGTAACCGGCCAACATTGTTTATGTTTTTTTGTTGGTCGTTGTGTTGCTGCTGCCTTCCACATCCTGTCGCTGATGCTCGCTTGGATTCTTGAATGGTGATGCATTATGATTGTATTAGCACATATTACCCTTATGTATCCTAATATATTTTGTGTGTGTGTCTTTATTTATATAACCTATGGACATCTGGAGTCAATTCCTTAAGCAAGATAACATCGTGTCCTCCCAATACCCGCAGGGTTTTATGTCATATGCAATAGGAAGCTACGGTGGATACTAAAAATCCTGCACGACCCTGAGAACCTTATACCTTGGGAGTAATGGTACTATAGTGGATTTTTCGTATCAACAGTATGAGTACTGTCAGATGCCCTAGTCCTGGCATCCGGCCAAAAAGGGGACCGCGTGGAATTTTCTGGGATCACCACCATGCTGCTCCGATGCAACCCTAAACCCTAAACTCACACATATAACCCCATTATAGTAGTTTCCATTTTTCCATTATCCCAATATTACGCTAACATATTCCCTGTAATCCCTATATAACCTCATTTTAGTAGTTGCCATTTTATGTTCCATTATCCCAATATTACCCCAATATAACCCTTGGGTTGCGATGAGCAGCTCACCTTTGTTTGCAGACGTGTAGGTCAAGCGGCATGTATACAATGCGCCCGGACCTTAGGAGCGTCATTATTACCATTATTGCTAATATTATTAGTATCATTACTTTCATTACCATTATCCTTATTGTTTTTACAACCATTACCATTATTACTATTACTATTCAGTTCCTACTTTGGATTTCATGCGCTCGATTGTGTGGGCGTGTTTTTTTTTGTGGCGAGGTGGCCCCGAACCTTAAACCCTTTCCTGTCGGTTTTGCTTCAAGCTGCATACCCCAGTTTATTCCCTGTAATCCCTATATAACCCCAAATATAGGGGTTTAGGGTTTAGGGTCCCCATATAACCCCAATATACTATAGTGGTTTTCATTCTCTTTTCCAGTATCCCAATATTACCCCAATATTCCCTCTCAAACCCGGAAGGCCAACTTACACCCTGGATCTCGCCTATCAACGCTAAACTCGCAAGTCCCTAAACCCTTGAAGCCTACACCTCGCTCATTTTGGTACTGGGCTACATGGTAGTTTCCATTTTCTTTTCCCTGATCCCTATATTATAACCCCAATATGTACCTAATTATACTATAGTAGTTTCAGTTTCATTTTCCATTATCTTATGGGTGTGAGGCTTTGGGGTTGCGATTCTAATAATCGTAAAAGTAATAATGATAAGAATAATCATAGTAATAATAAGCATAGTAATACGAGTAATTATAGTAATAACAGTAATAATGGCAATTATAGATAATAGCAATAACAGTAACAATAGTAATACGAGTAATAATAGCAATAATTGTAATAATAGTAATAGGACTAATAATAGCAATGATTCCTGTTTCACCGAGGCGAGGCGGGGCTCCAGAATATCGGGGCTACCACCTGGTGTCCACGGAAGAGGTGGGTCCTAGGGGTTGTGTGGGTTGTATAGGGTTTTTTTATGGGGATACTGGAAAATAACATGGAAACTACTGTAGTATATTGGGGGTTATATGGGGATAATGGAAAATAACATGGAGACTACTATAGTATATTGAGGTTATATGGGGACAATGGAAAACAAAATGGAAACTACTATAGTATATTGGGGTTATATGGGGAGAGTGGAAATAAGATGGAAACTACTACAGTATATTGGGGTTATATAGGGAAAGAGGAAAATAAAATGGAAACTACTATTTAGCGTTTAGGGAGTATTAAATTCGCTAGCTGCACCTCTAACAGACTGCTGCAGATTGAGCTGCCACCAAGCACCAAGATGGGGGAGCAGTGGGACAAATTGGCCGGAAGCCCGTGGGAGTGTGGAAGAAAAATGGTTGGGAACAAATATGGGTATCTTTGGGTAGTGTTAGGGATGTATTGGGGTTATATAGGGATAATGGAAAAGAAATTGGAAATTACTATTTAGGGTTTATAACTGCTGGACTCTGCAGATCTTGGAGCTAGGACGTGTGGACCTTAAACCCTAAACCCTAAAATCCCTAAACCCTAAACCCTAAACTCTAGGTGCTTCGGCTGCAAGGTGTGCACGCCGGCTTGTGCAAGTTTTTTGTCAGGAGTGCACTTTGCCCCTGACCACAACTCCAGCCATGGCGGGTGGAGATGAACAGTACCAGCTTCTCCGAAGCTCCAACCCAGGACTTCAGCTGGAAAGATCGAGGGTGGCGCATGCAGGACAGCAGTATCAAGCAGTGCAAGAGCTTTACTGGAGGCAGTCTACAAACAAGCGTAGTGCCCCAACGCCAGCACAAAGCGGGGCGGCTACTCCTGCAGAGGCGGCACAGGACGTGAACATGGAGGAGGAACCAGGCACGGGTTCCTTGCTCCAGTCCTTTGCTATCCAGGGCGATGCGGCTTTGGAAGTTACAGTGGCGGCCTTAGGCATCGACCCTCGCGACCACAACGCCGTCAATCAATGGCTCGATAGGCCGGTTCAGAACAACCGGGAGCTTTTTGATACGATGAGGGGTATCATGAACAAGTTATCCGGCCCGAAATGTACGCATTGGTGGTGCAGCTGGAGACCGGCCTGAAGACTTTGAATAACTCAATTTTTCAGGTACGCCGTGAGCTCTCGTGGATGTCTGCAGATAACAGGTTGTCCCAGAAATACGCTTGCGGAGTTCAGCTGTTGACGACAGGGTGGCCTCAAGGCCTAGGCGCCGTTGACCGGGAGTACCTCATCGGCTGGATCCTCATGAACACGCCGAAGGTCCACACTTTCTGTCACGAACGTGGTTACGTGACGGACTTCAACCAGCATGAGGTCAAGAGATACTTGGGGGCATTGGCGACGGACCCCGTGACTGTGCCAGCCAGCGGAGACTTCTACAGTACGATGACATTGCTCACTTTTCGAGCATTCGACCTACGCTCTGTGGTACTGGAAAAGTTTGGCGGCAGCACTGGCTGTCCTGTGTTCACAGATGAGAGGACACAGGTTAAAGGGCACCACATCAAGATCGCCCCCTGTAGTCCTCAATGGCAACGGAAACTAGAATCGCCGCTTCGAGTGATTTTGGCCTGCATTAATTCGTCCCCAGACCACAACTCAACAATGAGAATCATTGTGTTGTGGAAAACCCTGACCCTTCTGCAGCCAATTGAGGGTCAGGATTTTAAAGATGACATTGTTGCCTGGGCCAGATTGTTTTACTTTGAGGATCAAGGTGAATTCAAGGGCCGTTTGGAGATCACAAAGGATCTTGAAAAGATCCTCATGTCGGCTCCAACTGAGACCACAACTCTTGAGACAACGTTGTGGTCCCAGAAATGGAACCAGATCCAGTGGGGGGCTCAGTATGAACTTGACCAGGCCGAAGCAGCTGCCGTGTCAAAGGCACGAGCAGACTGCCCAGGAGGTAAAGGCCTCCAGCTTGGCAAAGGTAAGCGTCATTGGTCAAGTGCTGCCACTCACACAAATTATTATGAGCCTTTTCCGTTTCACTTGGATTTTGTGGTTGTAGACAGTATCTACTTCAGCTGGGACGAAATGTGCGACAAATTTCAGTGCCAGGATAAGAAAGTGGGAGATTACAGCGTTGCCACTCATCAAGGGGCACCTCCCGCTAAGATTGTGCAGGAACTGGGAGCCAAAGGTTCCACAGCAGCACCCTCTTCGACCACAACTCCTGCAAAAGGAAGGGGCAGGGGCAAGAGTCAGCCCTCCACGGGCAAAGCCTGACAAGTTCCTTCAGGAATTTTCAAGATCCCACCCTGGCTGAGGATAGATTCTTCTTGCCTGATTGGACCACAACTTTGCCAGTTTTGTCCACATCAGTGCCTTTCAAAGCTTCAAGGTGACCCTGAACCAATGGACACATTTGAAAGTTAAAAAACGCTGTCCACTTTTCCGGTTCCCTCCATGATTCAGCTGTCCCCCTAACATGTTTCATGGAGGAGCCAGGGTCCGCCTTAGGAAGCACCGCTATAAGTGCAAGCTTTTGTGGCAGCATCTCGCTTGGTTTTCCAACCTGCTTCGACAGCAGATTTGATGTCTGCGCCAGGATCTGGACCAAAACTCCACTAGGCTGGGATTTAGTTAGGCAAGCCTCTTTGAACAAATTGATGCATTCCATTAATGGTAACACTACCTTGAGAATTCAGTTGGAGGATTCAGTTCTCAAATCTGTTGCGGTTCTTCAACTAGATACCTTAGTCCCCCCAATTAGCCCGCCTGCCTTTCAATATAGCAGGGACTTGTTACTTTCCTTTAGAACTTTGAATGAGGCTCCAGAATACCATACACCGACCACAACTCAGTTTCACAGCTCAAGCTCTTCCGCCAAGCCTTATGTTAGGACAGGTCGTAGGCGAAAAATTCTTCTCCCAAGTGGCGATTTTTCTTTAAGAAAGCCAAACGCCGCAGAATTCACAGAATTAAAGAATTAATACACCAAACATGCCGACTACCGCCTCCCAGAGGCGCACCGGGAGCTCTACGGAGCCACGAAGAGCGCCCCCAAGGGTTGGGAACACAAGGCATGAGCAGGGGGGCTGTTCGGAGAAGGCTCCAGAGAAGGGCTTATCGCCGATGGCTGCGCCGTGCCAATGAGGCTAGGGTTAAGGGGTTGGGCCCCCCTCGCCCGGTTCCCAACCGGCCCCAACAAGCCGCTCAGTCAAGAGCAGCCTGGTTCCGCCAGAGCCTTCTCTGGCAGGAAAAGTTCCGGAGGAGAAAGGGTAGGAAGGTACGCAACTTTTCGACCACAACTCCAATATGGTATGATAAGGGGATTCGTTTTGGTACTCTTAATGTTCAGGGTTTCGCAGACACCCTCAAACTTAAGAACTCCATTCAGTTGATGGAAGAGCACAAGCTGGGTGTACTCTTCCTCACGGAGACAAAATCGTATTCCTACTATTCATATTTGTCTGAACAGTATTTGGTTATTCTTTCAGGGAACTACCGACAAAAGAATGCAGGAGTTGGGGGTCATTATTTCACCAAAAGTCCGCCCGCGTCTACTGGATGTTATCCAAGTCAACCCCAGGCTAATCCATGTTTGTTTTAAGAAACAGGGAGGCAACATTCACCTCTTAGGCGCCTATGCACCGCATTCTGGTTTGGACTTGGAGGAAGAAAGAATTCCTTTCTGGGATGAAGTGGAAGACGGCATCTCTAAGATACCTTTGCCTGAGCCTCTGTATCTTACGGGTGACTTCAATGTTAGGTTCCAAGCAAGGCATAAGCATGATGGAGGGGTTCTTGGACCGTTTGTTTATGGAAAGGGTTCAAGACACATCGACCACAACTCTGGTTCAAACAGAACGTTGTGCATTAACTTCTTGAAGAGGCAGGATATGCTGGAGGTGGCTTCGTTCCGTACACCCAATATGTTGTCACACGTCACATACAGGGATAAAGCCGCGCCTCCAAAAGACTGGTCGCAGTTCCTGTTAGATCCTTTAATCCTTCAGCAGGTTTATGATAAAATCCACTTCACAATGGAGGAGTCTGCTCTTTTGGTCGCTTCCAAAGTCAGATCCTATCTTGAGATGGATTCTCTCCTTCCACCTCCCAAGCTTCTGCCCCAGGTCGACCCAGTGTACTTTCAGAGACTGGACCATACCTTCACTAGAAAGCAGTGGCTTAATTCTGTTAATTCCTGTAAGTCTAAGCTGCGTACCGGTTTTCCTAGTGATCATTATCTTCTTGTTACTGACATCAAGATCAAGCTGTCTTCGAGATCTGAAAAAACCCCGAAGCCCCCAAAAATGAACTTCATTCAGGATGAAGCGTACGCTAAGTCTTTTAATGACATTCTGAGGGAATTTTGGGGAGAAGAGTCACCCCCTTCTGACCACAACTCAGAGCATGGATCTGTCCCAGGCAAGACTGTTTATACTGATGGTTCGGGTTCAAGGGGCAGATGCTCCAAGACCACACCTGCAGGATGGGGTTGGTGTTATCAGGAAGAGGAACAATGGGTAGAGGCGTTTGGTCCAGTAGTTACGGACCCGGACAGTCTACATTTTCGGGGGGCTCAGGTAGGCTCCAACAATACTGGGGAACTAACGGCCATCCTAGAAGCCTTGACCATGGCCATAGACAAAAATTGGCAGGACGTCACCATACGGTCTGACAGTCAATGGTCTATTAATGTCATCACTGGCAAGTGGAAGGCCCGTAGCCACAAGACCCTCGTCAATTATATTAAGAGCATCATACGCGCGGGTAGCATCAAGGTCCGGCTCTCGTGGATTAAGGCTCACGCAGGACATGAGGGCAATGAAAGGGCCGACAGGCTCGCAGAGGAGGGTAAGCAAAGCTTGGGTCGTTTTGGCACTACTTCGCTGCCGCCTGAGTTTAAGCGCACGGAACTGCCCAGTGCCTTTAGTGTTGATCCCGTTTCAGGTTTGTCAGAGGCTTCTAGGCAGGTTTCTCCCCACAGGAGGTGCGTCCAAGGCGCCCCTGGATCACTCAGGCTACGCTAGAGGCTCTTGCTAAAGCTAGGAAGGCAGAGGCCGACCAAGACCACAACGCAAAATCTCTCCGTAACGCTGCCAAGCGCTCTGCCAAGCGTGATCGCGTTAACTGGATACATGCGCAGTTGCTGTCCGACAACAGTGAATATCAGAAAGAAATGTGGCAAATGGCACGCAGCCAAAAACGGGGCTTTCAGGGTCGGAAAAGACACCTGGTGGTGGACAACCGCGCGGTTCCCTGGTCGAAGGTTCACGAAGCTTTTCGGGGCCACCTTCAAAACACTCAGTGGAAGCCCCAAGCCAACGCTACAGCAGCAACCTCCACCCTCAAGTAACGACACCAAATCAGGTCTCAGCTTCGGGACAACCGCCCTTTTACCTTTGAGGATCTGCAGTCAGCAATCACCAAACTCAAGAATAAGGCCCCAGGTCCTGACGAAGCACCCAATGAGTTGTTTACATTGCTTGATGATCACAACTCTCTCCTACTTCTTAAGTTCTACAATAAGATTTGGGGCGCCGGAGAGGTACCGGCTTCTTGGAAGGAAGCCATTGTGGTACCGTTGTATAAAGGTAAGGGATTGGACACGGACCCCGCGAATTATCGTCCTATTTCACTGCTTAATTCTATTTATAAACTTTTCGCCGCTATGCTGCAAGCTAGACTCGCCAAACAACATGACGAGCAGCTCAGGCAAACCCAATACGGATTCAGGGCGTGGAGAGGCACATCCCACCCACTCTTTATCTTGCGCCGAGCCATGGAGTGGGCGGAGATGACTTCTAATCCCATGTATTTTCTAATGCTTGATTGGAAGCAGGCATTCGATTCTATTGACCACAACTCCATGCTCATTGCTCTGCAAAGGTTTGGATTATCGGACCGATCCCTAAGAATCATACGTTCCATCTACAGTGACCCCACATTCTTTACATCTGGTATTGACGGTTCGCAGGCGACCGGGAAAGTAGGCTCCGGTATCAGACAGGGTTGCCCTCTAAGCCCCTACCTCTTTGTTATTGTTCTCACTGTTATTTTTGAAGATTTAGATTGGTCCTTGCTTAAGACTAATGTGGCTACCAACACCTGGTCCGTCGGTAAACCTACATATGACCTGGAATATGCTGATGACACTCTGCTAATGTCCATGACCACAACTCAGCTACAGGCCTTTCTTCGAGAATTAGAGGCGCAAGCGGTCCTTATGGAATGAAGCTCAACCAGACTAAAACCGAGATCCTCATCGACTCCAGAAGGCCCACACCCACCATTTCCTTCTCGGACGGCACCCCCGTCCCGACCACAACTCAAGCTAAGTACCTAGGATCCCTTATCTCGTGGGAAAAGCCTTTTGAGGTGGCGTTTAGGCATAGAGCTGGGATAGCGGAGACCTCGTACAAAAAGCTTAGGTTCGTTTGGAATTTTAATTTGCCGTATAGGGAAAAACTCAAGATCTTTCAATCGGTTTTTATCTCCACCTTAGTGTACGGCCTGGATGCCCTTACCTTGCAGGAAAAACACATCAAGAAAATTGATGCCTATTACATAAGATTCCGCAGGCGCATCGTTGGAGTTAAGGCTTCTTACTACTCCAGAATTTCCAACGTGGAGGTATATCGAAGAGCCGGACACCCACGCAAACCCTCACATACCCTGCATAAGCTCCAGCATAAAATGCTTAAGCAGGTTTTTGAGGCCAATCACAGTGATCCGCTTCATCACGTAGTCTTTAGCCCTGGGTTGAAGGACTGTATCCAGTCCACTGGTAGAAGACGTGGCGGTAAGATTCCCTACTGGATAGAGATCAACTCAGAGGCACTTTCCGGAACTTTGGGCAAAACATCTTGGCAGGAGGGTGGGAATTATGGGTCCTAATGTTATATATGCGGAGATTTCCAGATCCTTACTCCGTTTTCCTTCTTCGGTAGCGGCGCCAAAGCGCGCAGACTAGCGTGCACGGCGACAGCAACAAAAACCCTAAACTCTAAAATCCCTAAACCCCAAACCTTAAAATCCTTAAAACCCAAACCCTAAAATGCTTAAACCATAAACCCAGGTTCCCGCAGATGGGAGGTCGGGTAGGAGGTCGCGACAAGCAAAAGTGCAGGCACGGAGTGCTTTCAGAGACAAAGTAGATATATCCCCATATAACCCCAATATAGGGGTTTTGGGTTTAGGGTCCCCATATAGCCCCAACATAGGGGCTTAGGATTTAGGCTTATAGTTCTTTCCATTCTATTTTCTATTATCCCTATATAGCCCCAATATAGGGGTTTAGGGGGTTTAGGGTCCTCATATAACCCCAATATACTATAGTAGTTTCCATCTTATTTTCCATTATCCTCATATAACCCTAAACCCTAATCCCTAAACCCTTCAACCCTAAACCCTAAACCCTAAACCTACTCTGGGGGTCTGCAAGGCCTTCCAGGCCACTCCCAGCTCTCAAGTGCCCAAGATGTGGCAAGGTGGCATGAACGAGGCAGGAGGCATCACAGGAAGTGTTTTTAATGGATAAAAAAAAATGGGGATAATGGAAAATATAGTGGAAAATACTATAGAATTTTGGGCTCATATGGGGATAATGGAAAACACAATGGAAAATATTATAGTATGTTGGGGTTATATAGGGAAAATGGAAAATACAATGGAAACTACTATAGTAAATTGGTTCGCTGTGCTGCTTCCCACCATGGTCCCTGGCAGATTGACATCGATCCAAACCAAACGGCCGAAGAAGTTTTCGGGCTTGAAGCAATGGTGCTGAGCTCAACGGATTTGCAGTATTTTTTTGAGGAGGAATATGTGAAATCAGACTGGCCAGCTTGCAGTTTGTGCTTTGCAAATTTTCTGGCTGAGGTTGAGCTTGCAGTGATGGTGCCAATGCAGGGGTTCGACTGATAACAAAGTCTTTAGACTTCACACTACACTTAGCCAATATGCTTGCCTGTTCAGCCCCCTTGATGGCCGCGCAGTTTGTGCATTGCACCTTCCGCGGCTGAGGTTGAGCTTGCAGTGATGGTGCCAATGGAGGGGTATGACTGACAACAGAGTCTTTAGACTACCAGTACACTTAGACATCACGCTTGCCTATTCAGTCCCCTTGATGGCCGCCACAGGATAATGCAGAATTCTTTAGATGCCTCGGACGTCTGAGATAGTACAGCATCAGCTCTCGGTTCAAATTCTGCACGCTGTCCTTTGCGGGCTGTTTCTTGGTCTGCTGCCAGCGCTGGGGGAGATGCGTGTTGCATGTGCGCGCCAGCAGAATGAAGCTCAAGGGGTCTTCAGTTTTCCTGCCTGCTTAGGACTAGGCAGCTAGTTTCGATGTCCATGTTGTGGAGAGCCTCACTGTCTGGGCGATTTGTTGCAGCAAGCGCTGCCCACCGACTAACCAACCTTCGCGCGTTCTCTACTCGCGAGGTGATAGCAATCACAGAGGTCAGGAAGGGCATGATCATAAAGATAGAGGACAAGTACTGTGAGGTCAAGGAGTGGCAGCCTCACAAGCAGGGTCGAGGCGCAGCGGCTTACAACGTGACCTACAACGAGCTGGACACGGGCAAGGAGCGCCTCCATAAGTTCACATCAGCATCCAAAGTTCCCAAAGTAGATCCAGACAGAGAAGAGTGTCAGGTCCTGTACACGAAAGGCTCTGGAGTAGAAGAGAAGATTGTGGTGCTTGCAGATGCGGAATACAATGAGCTAGAGCTTCCGCTTGCCCGATTTGTGGGCCACTCCAGTGTTCCAGATGGTTCATCAGCACTTCTCTACAAGGATGACGGAGAGATCATCAAAGTCAACGTGAAACCCTGAGGCGTTGCTAGCAGTTTTCAGGTGTGTAGCCACCCAGATGTCACGGCGCGGTGCACGGGAAAGGCAGAAACATGTTGCTTGAGCCCTGCAGCAGTTTTCACACAAACTTATGTGTCTTTCGTGTTGACATCTTGCTGCTTCCATAGGCATGTCCCAGATTAAGACCATGACATGAGAGCAAAACCGCGACTCCGTTTGCGCAAGCAGGCCTGGACATCCGGGCAGCTAAGTTAGTGAGTACAGCACCACGCTCGTATCGGGCACAGTGAGGCTTACAAGTAACGCGTGGAGTGTCGAAGCCTGCCAGGCTGCTAAGTCTGCTAAGTGCAATGGAGGGACTGGTCCCAGCACCGAAAAGCGAGGATGCAGGACAGCAGGGACCGACCCTTGAGAGATCCCTACAGCTTCAGCAGCTTCAGGCATTTTTCAGAAGCTCTTCGGGCTTATTGACTCTGGCGATCAGGCATGGGAAGTCCATCCAAGATGGCTCTGCGCACTGGCTTTGTCGTGTTTGTGAGAGTCACTGGCAGGCTGCTGTGCTCGAAAGTCTCGACCAGCAGTTTGGAGGCGATCCAAACGTTGCAGACGAAGCAGGCACAACGCCTCTGCTGGTCGCCGCAAAGGAGGGGAAAGTTGAAATTGTTCAAGCCTTGATGGAAAAGAAAGCGGATTTGATGATGGCGGACGTGGATGGCGACAACCCACTGATGGTTGCAATCGCTCAAGGGCACATGGAAATTGTCCCTTGCTTGTTTTTCAGCCGTGGGGCAGTCTGTTTGGAGCTGTTCAACTGTTCCTGTTCTCTGGATGGCTTGCAAGAAGGTAAACAACTTTATGGCAGCAGACGATCGAGGCGTGGCAGATGTTTCACTGCAGCAACCTTGCCTGATGTGCAGCACAGCCCATGATTGAGTTTGCAGGTTTGCATTGTAGGGGCGACCCTGAAGCACGTGCTGAAACGCTCCTCGCTGCAAAGGCATGGACTTGGATGCTTCCAACAAGATCGGGCAGACTCCGCTCATAAAGGCTCTGCTGCTTTGCTTTGCCGCACTTCCGGCTCTTGGCTGCACGTTTGTCTGCCTGAAGAGGCGGCCAAGAAGGCCAACATTGAGTGTGTCTGGGCCTTGCCTGGAGAGTTTCCAAGGCTTGAGCCAGCAACATGCCGCAGAGAAGGTCAAGATGCTGCTCGCTGCCAAGTGTAACCCAAATGGCAAGCGCGCTCCCTAGCGACCGGTTCCTGAACCTGCGAATTCAGCCTGCCTCCGCCATGGCCCATCGTGGCTCGAGGACGAAAGACGGAAAGACTGCACTGATCCAGGCAGTGGAGATCAACAGCCTTGAGTCAGCCACGGAGTTGTTGAAACCCGGCAACCAAGGAGTCACAACTATCTATATATGTATATATATATATACACCCCCCCTATAATCCCTATATGAGCCTAGAGTAGTTTCCATTTTATGTTGCATTTTCCCAATATAACCCCATATTACCCTAAACCCTAATCATGGCTTGTGATGATATAATAGTAGTTTCCATTTTCTTTCCATTGTTTACCCCAATGTATACCCTAGAATCCCATACTTTGCATTTTCTTTTCCATTCTCCCAATATAAGCCCCATATATCCCATACATATATGTATATATACACCCTATTGTATTATAGTAGTTTCCATTTTCTTTTCCATTATAACCCCTATTACTATAATGTTTTTTCAAAGTTTGGAGCACGTAGCCGAGGAAAGCCGGTGCAGATATCTCCCTGGCTGATGATCTTGGTTTCACGGCTTTGCACCTGGACTGCACGTGTTCGGGTAATATTGGGATGATGGAAAATGAAATGGAAACTATGATATTATATTGGGTATATTGGGATAATGGACAATATAATTGGAAGCTACTATATTATATTGGGCTTATTTTGGGATAATGGAAAATAAAATGGAACTACTGTGTGCAGTCAGTAAAGATCTGCCATCCTACACCCTAAACCCCATGATAAAAGTAGTTTCCACTTCATTTTCCACTATCCCGATATCCCCAATATAAACCCTATATAATCAAACCCTACACCCTAAACCACTGTTATTCTCTGTGCAGTCTGCAATTCAAGGTTTCCAGCAGCCTTCCGTTGCAACGTCCCAATGTTGGAGCTGCTGCTGTCCTCCAAAGCCAATGCTGCAGCAAAAGCCAAACCGGGAACTGCTCTCATGATGGCGGGGCCGCATGCTGTCGTCTCTAACACTTCATCTGCCAACAACCTGGGCTTATCATATAAGTACTGTTGTTACTATTATTGCTATTGTTTCATTTCTATTCTTGCTATCATTGCTATTGCTTGATAATTATTAGTATACTATAACATTGTTAGTATGATGGTTACTATTACTATTACTATTGCTATTACTATTACTATTACTATTTCTATTACTGCTGCTGCTGCTACTACTACTACTACTACTATTACTACTACTACTACTACTATTACTACTACTACTACTACTACATCATACTAGGCCGTGGAAGCGCCTTCCTTCAAGCCAGACGCCGTGAAGCTTCTTGTGGAGCATGGCTGCCCCCTTGACGAAGTCTCCGCTGATGGGGACACCGTCAGTCGTGACACGATTTAGCAACTCCAAAAGGCTTTAGGGTTTAGGGCTTAAAATAGGGATAATGGAAAAGAAAATGGAAACTATACGGATTATAGGGATTGTATAGGGAATATATCGGGATAATGGAAAAGAAAATGGAAACTGTATGGATTATAGGGGTTATAGGGATTATATAGGGAATATATCGGGATAATGGAAAAGACAATGGAATCTATAGGGGTTATAGGGATCATATAGCGAATATATAGGGATAATGGAAAAGAACATTGAAACCCCATTTAGGTAGCTTAGCTGGAATTCATCTTTCGGTCCTTGAGGCTTTTGTGAATGCCAGGCGTTGATGAAGGCCGTGGAGGAGAACAATGTGGGAGCCTTGGGATCAGCCGACCTGGTGGAGTTTGATTATGACTTGGGTTAGTTGGGAATGAAGGAATGGAAAAGACAATGGAAACTACTATACTGGGTTATAATGGTTATATAGGGACTACTATAAGGATCCATTGCTTCATTCCTAGGTAACCACAGGTAAGAGTTTAGGGAATCAAGTTCAGTCAAAGCTTCGTTTCCAAGACGGATGGCGTTGCAGCACTACTGGCAGCCAGGGCAGATTCAACAAAAAAGAACCAGGACCTTGGCTGAGATGATAGTTTGTTCCAGTTTGTTTGGGGTTTAGGGCTTAGCATTTAGGGCTTAATTGACCCAATATACTATAGTAGTTTCCACTTTCTTTTGCATTATCCCTGTTTTTACCTCAATGTACTATAGTAGTCTCCATTTCATTTTCCATTATCCCTACATAACCCCTTGGCCAACGCAGCGCCCCAGCCGCGTTGCCTGTCGGATCTTACTAGGGATGCAGTTGGTACTAACAATCATACATGACCCTCAGCGCCATGTAAACAGGGAATAATGGTATTGAAATTTACTCAAGTCATGCAGGATTTCAACATCAACAGGAGGATTTCAATGCAGCGACTCAAGCCATGCAATAGCAGGAGGGGAAGACCGCGCTTGACTTGGCCAAAGAGAGAGGCCTGAAAGCTCTTGAGGAGCCAGAGCCTTGGAAACTTGTTCCGTAAAGAGGTATAGCTTTAAGAAGGGTATCTAGGATTTGAGATCCGCTTTTGGGGTTGCATGTTGTGGCGTTTTTGTTCGCTCACCACTGGGCGCCCAGCTACAAATAGTTCTTGGGGCTTTGAACATTCAGCATTCACGCAGTCGTTGATTCGTTCACTCGTTCACCCCTCCATTCACTCACCCTCCGGCAATGCTACTCTTCTGCGCTAGGCACCTAATCCCGAGTGGCCCTGGCAAGAAGGCATAATTCCCATATGAGCTGCAGTCTAAACCGCTTAAAGGAGGTTGTATAGGGGTTATATAAGGTTCCGTTTATGGGGCTTGTTAGGGGGAATGCTTGGAGTTTAGACTACCTCTCATAGAGCAGGAACTCTAAACGCACCTCTTGGAGCACCCCGGGCCGGTGATCCTCCCAACCGTGATTGCATGCAACACGCCTTCCACCTTCTTTAAGGTAGACATTCCTAGACCCTGAACCCTCAAAACATAGCAGTTTCCATTTTCTTTTCCATTATCCCCATATAACCCCCATAGACATTCCTAGACCTCAAACCCTACATTATAAGAAACTATGATATACTACTATAATATACAATAACATACTATAAAATACCATAATATGCTATAAGATATTATAATACATTAAGATATACAAAAGACTATAATGGATTATAATATACCATAATCTACTATAATATACTATAGTCTACAAAAATATGCTATAATCTACTATAATATACTATAATCTATTATAATCTACTATAATCTACTATAATATCCTATAATATCCTAAAAACATACTATAGTATACTATAATACACTATAATCTACTAAAATCTACTGTACTCTCAGCCTGCCTGTGCCCAGGCTGTTGGCAGGAGCTCCTTGAGCTCCTCAGAAACGGAGACGCGAGAGTTGCCTCGCAAATGGATTGAGGAAAGGGGCGCGATGCACGCGGTTTCGGGTCTTGGGGTTTAGGGTTTAGGGTTTTAGGGTTTAGGGTATTCAGGGTTTAGGGTTTAGGGTATTTAGGGTTTAGGGTTTAGGGTTTAGGATCAACAGGGGGGGGTTGTATAGGAGATATATGGGGGATAAGGGGATGAAAGGGTTATATAGTGGATATATACAGGCGAGTTATATAGGGGTTATATGGGCGATATATGGGGTTGTATTCCTTCATCAGGTTGTTGTAAAAAGCATCTTATGGCCCGGGCTGTCCTTTAAACGTCAAGAAGTGATAGCCAGAAGTGGGCAGCGTACACTGAGCTCAAATGCTGCATGGCGGTATGTGCCGTTGGCTTGCAGGGAGATGATGGAGTATGTAGGTTTCCCCATGATATGGGAAGACTCACCTTACCCACTCATGTGTGCATTCCGACTCAGAGGGGTATCAACTCCTACATACTCAGAGACGTACTTGCACCAACTTACCAAGCTTCCCTGTGCCAGTGTTGAATAATATACTTTAATACCATAATAGTCGTTTACTATAATATTGTATCATCTTATACTATAATTTCATAGTAGTAGGTGGGTTCGGCAGCGTGCCACATCCTGCCAGGCTTCGGCCTTTGTTATCAGGCATGATGCCAGAGCAATTCAGCACTAAGTCCTGTAGTTTCCTAGAGAACTCGTCGACTCTGAATTCACCCACCTGATCTCGACCTTTTCGACATGAACCGGTCTGCACCCCACGCAAGCTGTGAAAAAGTTGTCTTGCAGTTCTGCCTGTCAGTCCCACTTGCGTGATGATTTGAGGTCGGATGCAAAGCACAAACGAATGCAAGTGATGCTTGAGAACTCAGCAACATACTCTGCTGCTGCCTTAGCTTTGCAAAATTTCAGCAAAGCTGTGATGGCTCCAAGTAATACGATTTGAATGGTCAAGCAGCAGATCTCAGGATGTCGAATTCCAGGTTGGCCCAGATGGCGAGAGCTTTTTTGGCTTGAAGGCAGGAGCTGAGAGATAGGTCTCTCTGGGAATTGGCGGTGGTAGATTTCAACGTTGCTGCTGCTGCAAGGCCATCTACGCTCGAGCTTCCGAGGTCTTCTCAAAAATGTTTTTTGAGGCTGGGTTTCGTGAACAGCACGAAACCTCGCCGCGAGTGGTGGTGGCATCCTCAGCGAATCAGACTCCATGTCCTGAAGCTACAGGCAAGGCTCTTACCACTCTTAATAACAATACTAGAAAATGATATTGATAACAGTTCCAATAAGAGTAGTAGCAATAAAAATAAGTTCATCGCTAACGTGAGACCGCCTCGGGTAGTGTGGTCGAGGTGAGAGAGCATGCTAGCAGGGACAGCATCCGCTGCAGGCAGACGGGCCAACTCCGCCCAGCCCCTCAGACCCCCCCAAATCTGTGTTTTTGGCCTGGCGCCAGGGGGAGTGCATTTCAGACGCCCGCCCGCCTGTGCGGAACCCTGCAGACTAGCCGCACCCCCGCTGCCACCGCTAGGAAACCACACCCCCCCCCTCCCCCCCCCCAAAAAAAAGAACAGAATCGTGCCCACTGGTAGCGGGTAGGGGGAGCGTTAACTTGCGTCCCTAATCTCTGGACCTGGATCTAAACGCCACAGGCCTCCGGCCTGGGCGGATAGTAACAAGATATTGACTGCATCGTGGAAGTGGGAGGTTAAGGTTGAAGACATCATGCCAAAGTCGTTTCAACAGCTGCATCGGTGGGTGTATGCCTGACTCTAAGCAAAGCAGCCAACAAGCCCATGCATATATATCTTGAAGCCGCCAAGCACGAGGACATGGACGTGACTTTGACTTGGGATACTGTTTTTGGTATCCTCGATGCTGCTCGCAAGTACATGGTCGAGGACTGTGTGCTGACTCCTTATGATCTGTCATCTAGAACTTAATCTCTGCCCACTGCCTGATTTATAGCCATTTCACGTTTTCAACTTCTCTGAGGACTTGGAATTGCAGTGTAGACGTTGGGTGGCTTCAGAGGCCCGAGCAGCAGCAGGGGCGGTTGGTCAGGGCCTTGGCGCAAGCCTACTGGCAGATTGGGGAAAGCTGCGCGGAATGTCTGGCACCTCGTTCTTACCCGTACTGGATTACTCTTTATTGAAAACTGTATTGTCTTTTGGTCGGTGCCTGTGTTCTTGTTGTCACCCCAAGCATTCAAGAATGTTTGAACTCGCGCGTTTCCACGGGTATGGTTGCGCTCTTTCAGCTTGTGGTAGAACCCAACCTTACTAGCCAGTATCGCCATCAAATCTTTGCTATTCTCACTTTCGCTGCTGCAGCACCAGGAGGAGCAGTAGTAGTCGGGGAGAGGTTAGTTGTGATCGTACGGCGGTTGCTGCTGCTGGTGGTGGTGGTG